CGCATCACGGCTCAGCGCCTGTCAAAGTGGATTGCGGGTCTCATCCGTCTCTGCTTCCTGATCGCCAAACAGCCATTGCCTGGCCCTATCAGGGCTCATTCTACCAGAGCTGTTGTGATTTCCACTGCCTTCCTCCAGGGAGTGCCCCTGACGGACATTAGTAAAGCCGCTACCTGGGCCACGCCTAACACCTTCATAAGGCATTACGCCCTAGACGTCCGTAAGAACACGAATACCAACATGGGATGTCACATTCTGTCTTTGGCTACGCAGTAAAGGACCTGCCAGCACCCTCCTCCAGGTAGGCCACTGCTCGCTAATCTCCCATGGGTGTGAAGCACAGAGACCACATCGAAGATAAACAGGTTGCTTACCTGTAACTAGTGATCTTCGAGTGGTCATCTGTGTATTCACACCTCCCGCCCTACTTCCCCGCTGCTGTCAGCTTCTACATTTTCCATAGGGGTTGATTTGCGGCGGTTTGAAGGAATTGGCGGGATGTTTACGCCCACCCCTCTGGGCATGCGCGGTGGGGGTTCTGCGCATGCCCAAGGGACTGGGCGCGAAAATCCGTTAAAGAGCTTGCTACAATGCCGATCGATCCAGCGCATGCTCACTAGATCCCATGGGTGTGAAGCACAGATGACCACTCGAAGATCACTAGTTACAGGTAAGCAACCTGTTTTTCCATGTAGTACTATGAAATATTAAACTAGTGTCAACAGCTCTCTGATTGGTCCTTAATTATGGTTATCATTCCATTGAAATTCCTCTGTGCTAAACCAGTGGCTTGGATCCGGACCAGCGTTTCTCTGGGATTTAGGATTTCTGCCTATGGTGTTGCATTTTTTCCACCACCACCCCTTGCGTTAACCCAAAATTCCTCCCAAAAACCTGTATGGGGTTTCCCAGCCCCCGAGGAACAGGATTTCAGGGGGTATGGCATGCTGCCACAGGACAGGGGAGGGAAGAAAATCACACAGTATGGTGAAAATCCTTACGCCTGTGGAAATGCTAGTCTGAATATAGGACAATCGCAACTAAAGTGCAAGGTATTGGTTCAATTACAGGAACAGGCAATTTTTGTTATGTATGCCAAACAGCTGTCCAGCAGACTGTTCTGTTCATCACACAGGGCCGGTTCTCTACCCAAATAGGCCAGCCCCTGAGGTGCTAGCAGCACCACAGGGGCAGGTGGTGTGGGGGAAGGCAGCAGATGTGGCTTGTGCTCCGTGTAGCGCCCTGGACCTGTGTGGCCACCAGCTGGTTCTGAGTTGAGTCCATGAGCCACTAGACCTCATCTTGCTCTCATTGCATCTGGCTATGCACAATTCTCACCTGTCCCTCTTCTTTTTGTTTTCTGTTTGCTGATGCAGCATCATCCTCAGATATGATGTTGTGGGGGAGGGGGATTGGCACTTGGGGAAATGGTTGCTTCGTTAACCCTTCCTAAGGTGAAAATTATGTGTGAATTGAAAAGCGGGGCTGCTTTTCTACTAAACAAAACATGTTGCCGTGCTCCGATAGCAATCCCCCCCCCTCTTTATACTGGTATATATACACAACAAATTGTTAGGCGTCTACGTTCCCACTCCTGTTGTTTTCTCTCATGGAAGTACCTCGTAGAAGGGGGAAGTCCTTGAGATTCAATAGTCTGTTTTAGCTAATACTGACATTTCTTTTGATTTATGCAGGTAGTGGTGGTTCGGGATTTGAAGGCCAAAGTCGCTACGTGCCTTCTTCTGGAATGTCTGCCAAGGAGCTGTGTGAGAACGATGACCTAGCAACTAGTTTGGTTCTTGATCCATATTTAGGGTTTCAAACACATAAAATGAACACTAGGTAACTTACTTTAATTTATTTACCCAGAAAAGAGAAAGAATAAATGTAGAATTGACAACTCCCAAATTATGAAGTTGTTGTCTTTCAAGTATAACACAGAATTGGAATGTTTCCTTGAGCCTTCTGTGCTTAGCCAAGCAGAGTGTGATGTTTCTAATTCTGATCTCTTTAACCCTCGTTGCCATGTTCCACATAAGAGTTTGGGCTATACAATACACAAAGTGCCGGACTGTGCTTCCAGAATTTTGAACTTATCAGATCACTACAAGTGTTCACACATTTTACTATTTGCGTGTTGATCTGGTTTCTTTATAATAATGTTAAAAATCGTTCTTTGGTTTCTATGTAATAGATTATCACTGCGTCATCACCCAGGTTGTCTTCTGCTTAGACAACTTGCTCAAAGTAATATGTAATGATTGATCATGGGAGTTCTCCTTTAGAAGTAATATTTTCGGGAAGAATCCTGTTGTTAGATTCTTCATGGTCTTCTAGTAGTTTCTAATTCCTTGAACCACAATATGTATTTTAGGTAAGTGTATACTGTTTCCATGTACTACCTTAGTACTTAGTTCAGTGATTATTTCTAGGGAAAATAATTAACAGCTAGCCTTTAAAGTATTTTTCTGGCTCCTTAATTTTTGTACTGTAGTTTTGAGATCGATTCAAAAAGAGTCCTAGAAAAAAATCTGAGAATTTTGTTTCTGTATAGCTGTCTTAATCTTTCTGTGTGTCACATTGTGGCAGCCTTGATTGTTACCAGGACTGTTGACTATCTGAAATGAATACTCAGAATCGTTAGATGTTCTTTATCACACATCTATCACACATACTCAGAATCATTAGATGTTCTTTATCACACATCTGTCACACATATTTTATGTACTGTATGCACTTTGTGCTTGTGTAAGCCGCCCTGAGCCCGTTCACGGGAAGGGCGGGGTATAAATGCAATTTATTTATTTATCAAATTTATACCCCACCCTCCCCCGTAGGGCTCAGGGCGGCTTACAGGGCAAGGAATCTTGCAACAATAAAACCATCCTATACATTTAAAACATACTATACAGTTTAAAACCAATCCCAATACAAATAAAGTGCTCAATGATTTTCAGTTCCAAAAACCCAGAAAGATGACTGACCAAGTCCAGAAGTTCCCAGTGGACATTCAGTGGCTTCAATCTTCAGATGTTAAAAGTCCAGATGTTCCATCCTAGGGCCTCTTCCACCTCCCCATGATGACAATATGGCGGGGGCGGCGGCCCCTACTCGAAAGCCTGGTGGAAGAGCTCCGTCTTGCAGGCCCTGCGGAACTGCATCAAATCCCGCAGGGCCCGGATCTCCTCCGGGAGCTCATTCCACCAGGTAGGGGCCGCCACCGAAAAGGCCCTGGCCCTCGTAGTGACCAGTTTTGCATCTCTGGGGCCCGGCACAGTTAGCAGATTTTGGGCCCCAGACCGTAGTGCTCTTGGGGGAACATACGGGGAAAGGCGGTCCCTCAGGTAGGCTGGACCTACCTGAAATAAATAATAATAATAATAACATCTATGAGAGTAACATTTTTTAAAAAATAGATGCTTGTCCTTCTGTCTCATAATATAGTGGGGGGAAACGATAATTCATAACATTTTTGCTTGAATCTGCTTGAAGGTGCTGCTCTATAAAACATGGTCTAGTATATTTTGAATAACGCAGAGTGTTGTATCACCTCAGCAGTATGAAAATATAGAGGAATTCTAAGGAATACATTTCATATACATGTAGCTAATGGTTTAGAAGTTAAGTCTTTTTCCTCCCTGAAATAAGCCCCTTTCATCATTTATATGTTTAGATTCTGTCATAATCAGTGATTTTGTCTAGTTCCTTGTCCATCCACTGTATTGGTGATCACTTTGAAGAATCAGCTACCATGAGTGTATTTGAAGCTATAAAAACAAAGAAGCCATAAGAAGCTACAGAAAGGGCCTGGTGCCGTGTTCTTCAATGGTTGAATAGTTGTGGTAAATGCACTGAGCGAATTTGTAAATGACTTTTTTTCAGTGGGGTGTTTCTTCTTTTCTTTTGACTGGTCTATCGCCACCCTTTATTGTTTATGGCTTTGGGTAACATGTTAATATCTAAGAATGTTGTCGGACCAGGAAACAGTATCACTGATTGCAGTTGGAAATAATGAAGGCATTTGAAGTGTTCCTGTTTCATTCCTGGGACACAGGGAATTGAAATCTACCCATTACAGTTTCTGATATACAAAAATTTGAAGGAGATTGAAAATTTTTCAGCTGTTTTGATTTTCTGTGCTGCTTACAGCTTGGAGTGCCCAAAGACAATAGATCTCTGACATCGCTAACTAATTTTCAGAAATAATTTTTTGACTCCTAATAAAATTATTTGCATTATAAGCAAAATAACTGTCTCTCTGCTTGCACCTGAAAGGTCCCGTATTTCCTGAAATATCTGGTAACTTTTTTGAGCCAGTCTCCTAGAGTGACCACAGCAGCTGATGTTGTATTTTTAAAAAATAGCGTGCTACTTTTTAATCAGGCCATTTGGAGTCACTTTTGAATAGATTACCTATCCAAAATGTGCAGGACAGAAGAAATTTCATTCTGGCGCTTTAAAAAAAAATTATATATAACTGCTCTTAAATTCTATAGGAGCACAAAGCCCAGAGAGGTATCATTTCATTTTCATAGGTTCCAGTCTTTGCCTACATAAGACTAGATCCAGAGTAAATTTTCCACCAGTTTTCCACTATACTTTCCTGCCTTCACCCTCACTGGTGGATATGGGACCCTGAGGGTGTCTGCAATCTGTGGAAATGGCCTATTTAGTCTGGATCTTGTTCATTGTCTAAAGGACCTACAATTCTCTTCTGTGTTACAGGCCTAGAGTTGTTCTCCTGTTTTATGGATAATATTTCCTTGTCAGCATTTCCTTTTTTAAACTATTATTAGTCATTAAGGAAATTTCTTTAGGCCAAGCACGTTTAAAGTTGCTTCAAACATTGAATACCTGTTTATATATAATTTGAAAAGGGGTGCAGTTAGGTTGATGAAATACCAGCATTTACCATCACAATAGGTAAGAGTAATTAAGAAGAAGAAGAAGAAAAGAGATTGGATTTATACCCCGCCCTTCACTACCCAAAGGTGTCTCAAAGCGGCTTACAAACTCCTTTCCCTTCCCCTCCCCACAACAGACACCCTGTGAGGTAGGTGGGGCTGAGAGAGCTCTTGACAGAAACTGCTCTTTTTTCAAGGACAGCTCTTATCAGAACTGCAGCTTGCCCAAGGTCATCCAGCCAGGTGCAAGCGGAGGAGTGGGGAATCAAACCCAGTTCTCCCAGATTAGAGTCCACGCACTTAACCACTACACCAAACTGGCTCTTTAAGGTATTAACCCAATAGATGAAGCATTTTTGCTACTTCATGATGAACTAGTCAATTCTATTTTGGAAATAAGATTCACATTGTCAGAATTTGTAATACTATCTGCTGAATCAGTTTCTTTCAAGATGACAGTTTATACATAACCCTGCTTACCCCAAAAGGTTGCAACTTCCCTGCAACTGCACATGCTGTGTAAAAGATAATACAAGTGTGTGTGTGTGTGTGTGTTTAGAAACATAGTCTGAAGACTGACACACTCCAGTAAAAACACTATATTTGATACCTTTAAAAGACTTGCTTGGATTAGGGTCTGTCAAATCAGAACACTAATAAAAGCTTCTGGCTTCTGGTATGGGAAGTGAACTAATACTGAAATGGGAATAGTTTCCTACAGCAAGCACTGACAAGGCTTGCATATTCTTAGATATGTTGTCCAAGGTGCCCATTAAGAGGACAGTCCTAGGGTAAGCTGCTTGAGCAAGTTGTTGTTGTTCAGTCCCACAGTCGAGTCCGACTCTTTCCACTATTAAGATATAAACATGTGTATCATACAGATTTGCTTCATAAAGTGCCACGTGTATGAACAGCATGTTACATTGATATGAGGAATCTCTAGGTTTGTGTCGGTAGACCTGTATTTCTGAGTTGGATTATTTGCCATACTCTCATGTGAGAACTTGCTCCTTAAAATTTCAGTTATCAAGAAAGAGGCTTCCTTGTTTCCAAGTAAAGGTTTCCCCTTAGATATTTCAGAAGATTCAGAGTTGTGAAATAAGGTAATTATTGAATGCAAATTGTCCTAAATGAGCATTTAACTAAAAGCATTCTTCTTGGTTATGCTTAGTAAAAGACCTGTTTTTCAGCCTGTCATGAGTTAGATGTTATCATCCATTGTATATAATTTATCACCAGACTAGCAGTTTTGAACGTTTCCTGTCCCATGTTTGTCTGTCTGCATATTGGGAGATATGCTTGTAACTGTACTTGTCAAATCTTCAACATATATGCATTTGAATTCTACTGCCTTAAATAAGCATACATGTTTTCTACACTGGATGCAGTGTCAGTTCTCAAGCACAATATATTTTATGCACTGTACATGCAGGGTTCACTAACATTGATTACTACCATGAAACTGATTTGGGACTTTACCACTCAGTTGGCAATTAGATTCCATCTGGTTTCAACACAGTTTTAACCTTACTAGAAGCCTAAGGTGGAAGAGATTAGAAGGATGTTTAGTCGAACCCTCTCCCATAAGGCATAATGAGTCGTTCGTCATGCCTTCCACAGACCAGTCTAAACCAGATCAAAGTATGCCACAAGCACAGAGGTGGCACATTGCAGAATGATGCCTATTGTAGCAAAGGGTTCCAAATGATCCAAGTAGGTGAGCCATATGCAGGAAAATGTGCATGCACATGCTGTTTGAAGATTGATTGGTAGCCAGTCTGAGTAGAGGAAATACTGGTTCTCAGCTTCAAATTATATGACAATTGAAATGCTGGTTTGGTGGTACATGGGTTTTGTTTTTTTTACAATTCTTCAAGCATCAAGTCTTTACAAGCAGATTATCTGAAGGGAGCCCAGAACAGAAAGAAGGAAATATGCCATGGCATCTAAAGCACAGAATGGCTTTATTAGTTATTGAATACTTGTCCATATTTTGGATTATTTGCATGGATATTGTTAAAAGGAGCATTTTAAGGGAAAAGCCTAATCCTTTAAAGTTTATTTTCTGTTAAGTTTTCTTGTGTCTTGTAGTCAGTCGACCATGGGATTAGGCCACAGGGGTCATTTTTAGCATCATACAACCCTTAGATACAAGATAAGGGCACATAGGATTTAGCAGTGGTTAATGCCTCTTAACGTCTCTCACCCCAGGCAAGATGGCAAACTGTACTCGTAACTTGTAATCATATCCAAAATGTACTTTGAAGAGAAATGTGCAACAAGCGGCAGCAGATCTCATAGCTGAAGTAAATAAGTATCATCTTTGTGGATCAGACAAGTTGAATGTTGTTCCCATTTTTAATGTGTTACCATTTATATCCTAAGATGAAAAATGGTTTTAGGCTGTTTTTGATAAAATCATACTTTCTGTATTCAAACTAGGTAAGCCTTGCATATGTGAGAACTACTTGATAAGAACACATTTGTGTCAGTCATTAGAAACGAAAGAAAAAATATTGATCTGCATCCAACCACCCAGTTACAAGAACTTAAGAGACCTTAAATTTTCAAAAGAGGGTGGTGGTCTCTACCAATTACCCTTCCCCTCTGCAGCCCACTGACTCCCGAAAATGTTGTTCCTGGAGACCAGCAGAACCTCAGAAATAGTGCAGTGGTTTGATATGGGCCTCTTGTTCTAAATCCATTGAGTTGCATCCAGTGTTTCTGTCCCACTAAAGATGGGACCTTCCTCCAGTACAAGGACTGTTCTGCCTGTACCTTTATGTTGGTGGAACACATACCTCTTCAGCTGGTAGGATACTCCTTGCTTATACGCTATTAGTGGGATGGAAACACTGGATCCAATCCAGAGTGATTATATCAGAGAAGATTAGTAAAGAATATTTAGGTTGTGAATGATTTTGTAGGCTGATGAATAGGTATAATTTTTTGCTAAGTTTTTTGCTAGTAATCACCAGCCTTATTTTTTATCCCATCCAGTTTCTAGTAACTGTAATTTTTGTAACTTCTCTTTTTCAAAACTTATGCAATTTACATCTTGCCTTTTTATGTAGCTCCTAGAGGTCTCCTATCCCAAGGACCGATCAGCTCAGTATCTGCTTGGCTTTAAGCAAGGTTGCAGCCTGACATATCCCCAGCCATACACAGAGCTCAATTAAAAACTTCTTTAAACTTCTGTGCTACCCTCTATTTTATATTTTGAAGCGTGCAGTCATCTCCTCTCCCCCTTTTTTGTTCAGCTGAACAGGTCATATTCCAGAGGAATGCTATTCTCTTGTAGCAAAAGCAAGTATGAATCCTGTAACATCTTAAAAAACTAATACATTTTATTCCAGCATAAACTTTGATGGTCCAGAGGCTACTTCATTAGATAGAGTGGACTGGAGTCCATAAAGAGTTGTGTTAGAATAAGATTTGTTAGTCTACATGAGCTAAACTCTCTCATTTGTGTTGGGAAAACAAATTCCCTGTTCCTGTAAATATTGTAATGCCTGCAGGATAAACCTAGTCTTCTTTGCATACCCTTTGTATATATTTTGTATTTTCCCCTCTTTGTGCTATAATTTTCTCTTTCAATATACCCAGCAACTGTATTCACCTGCATCTTTATCACATTGGTCACTTGTGATCAATGGGTACCACCCCTAAATCTGCCTTTCCTAATTCTGTGAGGTTTCCACGAATCTCAGCAGTTTGTTCCTGCTTTTTTCTTTAGTGTAGCTTATATGACTAGTACCTGAGGAGTTTATCTAGCTCATTCTTTCCAATTTTAATGGTTGCCTTTTCACAAAATGAGTTTTTTTTTAGTCTTCTCTGAGAAGAGATCCCTTTTCTAAACAATAAGAACAAGTCTTTTAGGATTCTTCTTTGAACAAACCACAAACCTTAGAAATGCTGGATTTTAGTCCAATAGCACATTAGAGACCAACAAGTTTTTTGGAGTAGGAGCTTTTAAGAGTCAAAGCTCCCTTCGTCGGGTGGAGATCTCTGAGTCCATCTATCCCAGTCAGAAGGTAGGAGGGGGTGTAACAAAGAAGGAAATCAGGATGCAGAGGTAGAATGCATAGTATTCAGCTTGACTAGAGCTGAGGGGAAATGTTTGGGAGCAGAAAATTAAAAGAAATGTCCCCAAGCAGTCCCCCTCCACTTAAATCGTACTGATTACTGTGTGCGTTGTATCTCTGAATCCCAAGTTCCTTCTTTGCAACACCCCCTTCCCAATCAGATCTAGACTCCAAATGGAATCTGACAAAAGGGAGTTTTGACTCTCAGAAAATCTTCTTGTTCTACCGCAAGACCAACATGGCTGTGATCAGAAACAAGCCTTAGAAATGTAACCCAGTGTTTGGGACTTTCATCTGGAACACCAAGTCAGTTGCACAACATCTTGCTTTCCTTAGCTGCTATCAACACAAAAGCAAGAAGAGTATCTGCTTACATCTACTTGTCTTTGCTGCTTTTGAATGCTGTTTAACTGTTGCAAGATTGCTGGAGCGGGGGGGGGGGCACATATGCAGTTTTACGAAAATCTGTTTCCATTTACTTACATAATGTAATGTGGAAAGAGGCACCCAGTTTCCAGGCCTATTTAATTTGCTAATGAATTTAAATGCATGTACTTAATTTTGCATGCTCTTGATTTTGAGGGGCAAGTATGCTTTTTCACTGCTTCTGTTCTGTAGTCAAGCTGAATAAGCCTACCTTCCTGTCCTGCTAGTCAAAATGACTGGTGAGAACCAATGCAGCTTGCATAGTTTGACTCCTTACAATAAGCTCAGAGAAAGTTACATCCCAGTGGGATGCTTCCCACACTCCCAGTTGGTAGCAGCCCGCAGATAAGCTGGTGAGAATCCAGCATTGCATGTAAAAACTGTCCTAGCTAGTAAGCATTCTAATGGTTGTATTTGTATTGTATCAATTCCCTTTAGTACTCAGAGTTGTGCAGAACCTGCTGACAGCAGTGCCTATATTTCTGTCCCAGCAACTGAGTTATGGGTAAATTTTAAAAAGCGTGTTTGACTGGATGGGCTTCTTGTATTTTTTTTTTTAAGGTTTCGACCAATAAAAGGAAGGCAGGAGGAACTGAAGGAGGTAATTGAACGTTTTAAAAAAGATGAGCACTTGGATAAAGCCTTCAAGTCCTTGACGTCAGGTGACTGGGCCCGGCACTATTTTCTTAACAAGAACAAAATGCAGGAAAGGTTGTTCAAGGAACATGTAGGTTTGTTTATACATAATTATAGTTTGGAATTATTTGTGTGTGTGTGTGTGATTTTGCAGGCTTTCATGAAAGTTAAATCAAATTAAACTAGTAAAAGAGCGTAACTTGTCTTACTTACTCTTTAAGTTTTAACAAATGCAGTATTCTTAGAATTAAAACCAGGATTAATTACCTTGATGGAAATAAACTTTAAGGGAAAGGGTTAAATGGAATAGCCTGGTTATAGAGGGCTCAGGGAGCGGCATGATGGTGTGATATAAATGCGTGAGGTGTGAAAGAAATGGAGGAAGCTAATGACAGCTATACAGGGAGTGGGAGGCATGGGGAATAGTTTGCCTTTCTCTGGTAAATGTCTAGTCCCAGTATGGGCTGGTGCAGATATTATGCTATTGACGGTTTATTTTAGTTGATATTGGCTCCAATCACACACAGTTTGCCACGGGAGAGCCACAAATGCCGGCCGGATTTTCAGGGCGCGATCACACCGCAACATCTGGCAAGCGTAGCGCACCCGTGGCCAACCCGTGGTGTCCGGCCGCAGATGCGCAGTTAAAAAGTACCTGCCAAACTCCACTAGCAAATGATTTGCCACGGGCCGCAGATGGACTTGATCCGTGTGATTGTGCCGGCGCGCGCCCATTCCCTCCGGCTGTCCTCGTTGAAGCGCACTGGAAGCACACGCCGACGGACAAAACTCCGGTGTGCTGCCGGCACGTCCGACCGCATAATCGCGGGTCAAAATGCGACAGCGCAAATAGCCCCCCCCCCCCCCCCCCCGCGCGCGCGCGCGCGTTTTCCGGCACGTGTGACCGGGACCATAGGTTGTTATCTTGGCTTGGCCCCTTATTAAAGTACATTCAAATGAAGTATTCATGGTGCTAAATCAGTGCATTGGAAGTACGTTCACATGACACTGAGCCAAGGTAAAGCTTGCCCATCTCAACTGTCATTCTACAGATTTGCCTTAAGTGAGATATGTATTGACCCGAGCAAGGATTCGGGGGAGTGATAAACTTTTCAGTATAAGGCTTGGGAGCGTGAAGCACAGCAACAATACAGAAAACTGAGTACTTCAGAGAGAGATGGCTTAGTACTTAAGGGACTCAAAAAATTTTAGGAAGCCTGAGACGTGTTGAAACAGATATGAGCATTTGGAATTACTAGGAGTTTTCGTCAAGTTTTGTTTTAGGAGGTAGTCTGCACTCCACCATTCATAATAAGAAAAGGTGATAGAACCCTAGAAGTGCAGTGGTTATTTTTTAAAGATTAAAGTATCTTCCTTTATTTCCCAAAGAGCTCACTGGGCTGTTGGTGGTATTGGATAATAATAATAATACTTTCGATTTATTGATCGCTCTTTCCCACACACCTGCTGGCTCAGAGCGATTTACAGTTACTCTTTGACAGTTGGACTAACAATATTCATGGGGGATAGGGAAGACAACATACAGCATTTTTTAAAATTACACACACATTGCAGCTAGACGGGGCTTCATCTGCGGGCTGGATCAGTCGTGTTCCCACGGCATGTATTCTTGTCGGCTGGCTGATGACGTCAGGGCTTCTTGATGTCGTGCTGCCACACTGCCACCGCCTGGCCGACTTGCTCCACTGCAGGGAAGCCGAAACAGCTCTTTCATCTTTCGATCTGCCGCGCCTCAGAAGTCACACTTGGCAGCTAACACCTTCCCATAGTGAGGTCAACTTTGAACCAGCCAGGAATATCTTGGCTTTCCCCAAAAGAACTGTCATGGGAGATCAAGAAAGAGTGACAAACAATGGACCTCATAATTAAAATTACAAGATACGAAAAGTCAAAAACTAGAAAATCTTAGTTTTGTACGGTTTGTAATTTAAGACGCCCACCTGGAAATTTGATCAGCGTCTGTGCGTTCTTCTCAAGGAACATCACGCACAGGACTTTCTGAAATGAGGTGGGGTTTGTGTGTGTGAAGTGTCATCAAATCACTTCTGACTTATGGTGACCTTATGGATTATCATTAACAGGTCTTGCATTTGCTCAGGTCTTGCAAACTGAAGGCCGTGGCTTCCTTGATTGAATCATGTTGGGTCATCCTCTTTTCCTGTTGCCTTCAACTTTCCGTAGTATTTTTGTCTTTTCCAACGAGGCTTGTCTTCTCATAATGTGAGCAAAGCATGATAGCCTCAATTTAATCCTTTTAGCTTCTATGGAGACTTCAGGCTTGATTAGATCTAGAACTCATTTATCTCTTTTTGACACCCATGGTATCTGTAAAAATCTCCCTTGACACCACATGTGGTAATTAGAGAACAGATGAGACAAAAGGGGTGTGACGGGTACGCATGAATGGTACAAAAGCATATAGAGGACTATTATTACTGCTCACATACCCCACAGCACAAGAATGTGAGGAAGCAGGTTTAAGAAAACATGTCAAAGTGTTATACAAAATACATATTTAATCAGTGTTGGTCATCACTATCAAATGTTGTGGAATGGGGCTGGCATTCAGTTTATGAAAATGAGGGTAATTCCAGAGGGGTAGCCACGTTAATATGCTGCAGCAAAATTAACACTTATGCCAGAATGAATTTTATTTACCGTGAAAGTGTGCCCCATTTAATTTTGAGAATGGTGTGTGTGTGTGCAATATTCATTCAAAATAATTTTGAAGAAATTTGAGACATTTACTTGAGGTACTTTTTCTGTTGTAGGTATTTATTTATTTACGAATGTTTGCAACTGACAGTGGATTTGAAATATTGCCATGTAACCGCTATTCATCGGAGCAAAATGGAGCCAAAATAGTTGCAACAAAAGAGTGGTAAGCACACTGCAATAATACTATATTGCTTTGGCAGAGTGTTTGCTGTGAAATTTGCTGGTGTGTGGGGTTCGCAGGGAAGAAAACCTATATAACTTTCACTCTTTTATGTGTCCTTGCTGTGCCTGTTCATTTTATTGTTCTGCTAGTGCTTTGGTACATCTTATTTTTTTTACTTAAAAGGGTTGGTTTTAAGAGTTATCCAAGTCAATCAGGGACGATGTAGTAAATATGATCATGCCACAGAACCAGTCAGATTTGATTGTGTGATGACATTGGTGAGGACAGATGAAGGTTTATTGCCCTGACAAAGGCTCCATTCACATTAGAAGGCATATTTGAATGTGCATTGGAATATATATTTGCATTTGAAGCATTTCAATGTGCATCTTGGACAACACCCCATCTCCTGAAGTGCTATATTAAGTGTGTTTATTTTCCTTACTGGAGCATTGCTGTCACTTTCCCCCCTGAAAGGACTAAAAGCAGATTACAGAAAATTTCAAATTATAAAATAATTTTAAAAAATAAATCAAAGGAACCGGATACATATCTGTGGTGGTCTTAGTCTGCCAGGCTGCCTCAGAATGTAACCCATGGGTTAAAAATCAAGGGCCAAGAGCCCTTTGGCTCTTGCCTTTCAGTTAATACCAAAGAACTCCTAAGAACATAAAAGAGCCCTGCTGGATCAAAGCAGGGCTCCATTTAGTCCAGCATCAGGCTTCACTGAGTGGCCAGTCAATTGCCCTGAAGGGCCAATAGCATAGAGGCCAAGGCCTTCTCCTGGTGTTTCCTCCTAGTGCTGGTATTCAGAAGTTTACGGAATAGGAAGGCCCCTTTGATCACCATGTTTAGTAGCCATTAATGAATCGATCCACTGATATGGCCGCTACCTGCCTTCTCAGGGTGCTGGTGCTAAGCCCTTTGTCTGGCCCATCTTGAAGAAATGATAAAATCCCTTTTATCGATACCTTTAGGGGGCCCAGGCTACGCTTTATGCACCATGCATAAAAAATCTTCCATGTCGTGTTGTACACCCTATTTGTGGACCCCTTTCTAGAGGCTTGCATGATGTCGATCACCCTCCCTGGGTACCCCAGCTGTGTTAGTTGTTTCCGCTCAACCTCCAGGCTGTGAGGTTTAAGAGGGCCGGTTTTGGGTGCCGCAGCAACCCCTGTGTCAATAGGTTGTCCCTTTGAGGTAGACACCATGGCTCTGTTAGAGACAGCCTTTTCAGGTCCTGGAACCATGGTCTCCTTGGCCAGAAGAGTGCTATCAGCAGCACCTCCGCCCTCTGTTCTATCACCTTGTGGCTTGCCCTGTGTATCAGTTGAGTTGATGGGAAGGCGTAAAGTAGGCCTTGGGGCCAATTGCAGTTTAGAGCATCTGTTCCTGTCGCCTGAGGGCACCTTGCCCAAGACATGAACCTCTGCACTTGGTGATTTTTTTGCTGTGGCAAACAGGTCCATCTCTATCCCCACCCCACCCCGAATCTTTGGCAAATCTGATAGAAGACTGCTCTACATCATCCATTCCGATTGATCTAGTTTTCGTCTGCTCAGCCAGTCTGCCAGGATGTTGTCTGGACCACGATGTGCACCACCTTCAGGGACTGTAGGTGGACCTCCGCCCACTCCAATAGCTTGCTGGCTTCTTTGTGCAACACACTGAATCTGGTTCCCCCTTGTCTGTTTACATACGCTTTTGCTGTTGTATTGTCCATTTGTACCAGGACGTGGCAACCCGATAAGGACCCACTGAGTTCCATCAGGGCCAGCTTGATAGCCCTGAACTCCAGGAAGTTTATGCTCCTGGTCGCCTCCTCTTGGGACCAAGCACCTTGTGTCACCCATCCCTGGGAGTGGGTGCCCCACCCAGAGAGCATCTGTGGTCATCACTATCCTTTTCGGCTCTCGAAGCAAGATGCCGAGTTGGAAATGGGAGGGGTTCCACCCACCATCGCAACTGACTCTTCACTTCTGGTGTTAACCGCACTACCTGCTGCCTTATGTGTGTGATAATGTCCTGATAAGGCAGTAAAAACCTCTGCAGTGGAACCTCGCCCACTGGAGTACCTCCTGGCAAGACACCATCATCCCTGGCAATTTTGTCAGGGTCATCACCTCTACGTTTTGTCTTCCCAGCACCTCTGTGGTCAGAGAATGCAACTTCCGTTGCCTCTCTTTTGATAGGAAAACTCTGTCCTTTAACTGTGTCTATCTGGACGCCCAGGTGCGTAAGTGACTGTGACAGGTGGAGGTTGCTCTTTTCCAGGTTTACCACAAAGCCATGTTCCCTGAAAATGTTCACCAATAGAGTTGAGGCCTCCAAGCTCTGCTGATAGGATGAGGCTTTTACCAGAATGTCATCCAAGTATGGGAATGGTGACACCCCCTGAAGCTGCAGGCGTGCCACTAAGGCTACCAAGTTCTTGGTGAACACCCTGGGAGCAGACTACAGGCTGAACGGAAGTGTTCTGTACTGGAAGTGGTTTCCACCGTAGGAGAAACGTAAAAATCTGCGGTGAGCTTCTTGACTCGGAATGTGTAAATAGGCCTTGGACAGATCGATGGATGTCAGGAAAATCCCCTTCCTGAATGGCCAGGAGGATGGATTTCACTGTCTTCATCCTGAACTTCCTGGTTCTTACTTGTCTGTTCAGCCACATCCCCATTCTTCTTTGGCACCACGAAGAAGATGGAGTAAACTCCCCGCGTCTCTTGGTGTTCCAGAACCCATTCAATGGCTCCGATGCCCAGCAGATGTTTTATGGCACCGTGCCTCCAAGAGTATGTGCTTCTCCACCGACTAGTTCCTTGGGACCTGTATGAAGCGGTTGGGTGGGATGGTGTTGAACTCCAAGGAGCAGCCGTTTGCTTATCATGTCCAGCATTCACTTGTCACTCACTGTGCTCCGCTAGTGTGGTGTGAAAGATTGTAACCGCCCTCCTATCCTCAAAGCCCCCTTGTGGTCAGGGTAGTCATGCTGATGTTCCCTTCTTGTTTGCCTTGGAGTTTTGGCTGGACCTGCTATGGAACGAGGGCCTATTGTCTTGGGGTCAGGACCAATGCTCCCTCTAAGCTTTTCTTGTGAGCAAAAATTCTACTTTGTGAGCATTAAAGTTGAGAGCAAGCGATTTGGCTGCTGCATAAATTAGTTTGCTCTGAAGCCATCTTTCCTGAGCCTAAGACAAAACTGTGTGAGCTGGAGGCTAAAAAACTGTGAGCTAGCTCACACTAACTCAGCTTAGAGGGAACACTGGTCAGGACTGCCATTTTCCCTTGAAGGGCTTGTTAAATTTGGGGCGTGGTGTCCTCTTGGATGTTGGAGAAAATAGCTTTGAATTAAGGTCATTCATGAGTTCACAGAATTTCCAGCTGGTACATACAGTAGAAAAACAAGACATCCTAAGCAAATGGGGAGCTTTCACTTTTTTTAGTCCACTTGAGGTTTAGTCCACTGAATGTGATCCATATACGCATATCCTCTGAGACCACAAATCTGTTTTCCTCTGTTAAAATATTTTATGGTGGGAAAAGATCACAAAACATTTTGGTTTCTGTTGAAATGCATAATTTCTTCCTTTCCTTTTAAGGAAACGAAATGACAAAATAGAATTACTAGTGGGTTGTATTGCCGAATTGTCTGAACTAGAAGAGAATATGCTGCTCAGACATGGAGAAAATGACTTCAGTGTCATGTACTCAACACGGAAAAACTGTGCTCAGCTGTGGCTTGGTCCAGCTGCATTCATCAACCATGGTAAGCAATAAGTATATAAAATATTAGATAACTGGTTATACTACTCAGAAGTAATTTTTAAGGTATTTAGTCACTTGAACTTCAGCAGTGCCCAAAATTTAATTAGAATGATCTAAAGTACTGCTTTTAAAATATTTCCTTTAAAAATCCAGTAGGATAATGAAGAATGTACTGTATTTTTCTTGTTGTCGAATGTCCAGTTGTTCGATTTTATAATGAGCAGTAAAATCAGTATGAAAACTTACTTTAGATATCTGTAACTATTCATGTTTCAGGGCTTATCAACAGCTAATTGATTTTAATCTTTTGGACCTTTTTCAGATTGCAGACCCAACTGTAAGGTAAGTGATCAGCGTTCTAACCCATGCCAACTATTTAAATATAGAGATACTTTAAAATTATTACTGTTTAAACTAATTAAATAATCGAAAAATAATTATTTTTCTTCAATAGTTTGTGTCGACGGGCCGGGATACAGCATGTGTGAAAGCTCTCCGAGATATTGAACCTGGAGAAGAAATTTCTTGTTACTATGGGGATGGTTTTTTTGGAGAAAATAATGAATTCTGTGAATGCTACACATGTGAAAGGTATGTATTGAGCATGTAAACAGCAATGACAGATGATACTTAGTTGAATTGCACAGCTGCATTGTAGAGTTGAGGTCTGCCTGCAGTTGGTACTTCTTATTCTGAAGTTGGCAGCTCTTAAGGATTTTAGCCTATTAATAAATGGTGATTCTTTTGGAAACAGTTCATTTTATGTTTGCATTTTGTTATTTCTAGCTGGCAAGCCTATTTACATTTGTTTATACAAAATTCAGTAAATCGCACGAATGGGGTCTTTGTAAAGAGAATGGCAATGTTTGTGAAATGGCAGGGAGAGCGGCTGGTGACTCCTAAGTAATTCCAGTTAAACATCATAGTGCATCTGAGAAGTCCAGTTAAATGTTTGCATTTAAGAACATAAGAACATAAGAGACGCCAGTGTTGGATCAGGCCAAAGGCCCAACCAGCCCAACACTCTGTGTCACACAGTGGCCAGAAATACCAGGGGCCATCAGGAGGTCCAGCAGTGGGGCCAGGACATTAGAAGCCCTCCCACTGTTGCCCCCCCCCCAAAGCACCAAGAAGACAGAGCATCACTTGCCCCAGAGCCCCTATCTATACCTTGTGGCTAATAGCCACTGATGGACCTCTGCTCCATATGCTTATCTAATTCCCTTTTGAAGCCGTCCATGCTTGTAGCCGCCACCACTTCCTGTGGCAGTGAATTCCATGTGTTAATCACTCTTTGGGTGAAGAAGTACTTCCTTTTATCCGTTCTAACCCGACCGCTCAGCAATTTCATGGAGTGCCCACGAGTTCTTGTATTGTGAGAAAGGGAGAAAAGTACCTCTTTCTCTACCTGCTCTTTCCCATGCATAATCTTATAAACCTCGATCATGTCACCCCTCAGTCGTCTTTTCTCCAAGCTAAAGAGCCCTAAGTGCTTTAACCTTTCCTCATAGGGAAAGTGTTCCAACCCTTTTATCATTTGAGTTGCCCTTTTCTGCACTTTTTCCAAAGCTATAATATCCTTTTTAAGGTGTGGTGACCAGAATTGCACACAGTATTCCAAATGAGGTCTCACCATTGATTTATATAGGGGCATTATTATATTGGCTGATCTGTTTTCAATACCCTTCCTAATAATCCCCAGCATAGCATTGGCCTTCTTTATTGCAGTCACACACTGTCTCGACATTTTCAGTGAGTTATCTACTACAACTCCAAGATCTCTCTCTTGATCAGTCTCTGCCAGTTCAGACCCCATCAATGTGTATTTATCCCGCTTAGATAGACGGGGATCACAGAAGCATCAGAAGAGTGCCAGTTTAATTGTCACTAGCATCCTTTCACTAGTTGCATGTTTACCGAAAGGAAAAATAACACAACACAACAAACCTTTCTTGGCATAACAACAGCCGCAGCTTTAGGTACAGAGGCGATAGGCACGCAAAACAGTTAATTCACTACCCCTTCTGCCGAAAAAGAACTCCTCCTCCTATACGCTCTGCAGTTTGCCACCTCTTTGATGGTATCAGCCCCGTTTGAGGCTAGAAGGTTCATTATCTTACTTTCCTCAGATTTGCCCTCCAGGGTTTGCAGTATAGGGCCGGGGTGATAAGCGCGCAAATCCTGGTAAAAGCTACAAGTCAGAAGTAAATGGTCCATTCCTTCAATCTCCTTTAGCCCACAGGGACATAACCTATCCGGGAATTGTGTTTTTCTAAATCTCCCGTATAACACAGCTGAGGGGAGCACATTAAAACGGGCCAGCGTGAATACCCTTCTAATATGGGGATCAATCAAACAGGGAAAATACTCTGCAAGTGGCACGTTAAAAGAGATCCCCCAATGAATGGGAAAGTAAAGGAAAAATATTAGCACATGTATTTTAAACAATCACTGGTAAATACTGTATTGAATGTGAGTGTTCCTTGAAACAGGTTTCACCTGACAAATCTATGTTTAAAGGGTAGGGGATGATTTCAGAAAAGCGTAAGCCAAATTTCCTGTATTTTGACTTCTGTATTTCTCCTGAAATTGTAACGGCAGTCTTCTAACAATGCGGAAATATTTACATGAACTTGTCTAATCTAAATGTGTCAGTATCGATCTGAGATTCATATTTCATCAGATAGTATTTTTTATCGGTACTCATAGAGGTATTAATGTATATCGTTCTCTTTTAATAGACGTGGAACTGGTGCTTTTAAGTCAAGAGTGGGGTTGCCCGTGCCTGCTCCTGTGATAAATAGTAAATATGGACTCAGAGAAACAGATAAACGTTTAAACAGGCTTAAAAAGTTGGGTGACAGCAGTAAAAACTCAGACAGCCAGTCTGTCAGCTCTAACACTGATGCAGATACCACTCAGGAAAAAGTTAATGCAAGTAAGTAAGGTGTATTTGTATTTGCATATTTATTTATCTATGTCCCACTCCCCCCCCCCAGTTGAAACTCTTAAGTAGCTTAGAACATCTTCCATTCTCTCACAACAAACCCATGAGGTAGGCCAGGCTGAGATTTTGTGACAGTTCCAAGGCCACCCAGCAAACTTCCATGGTATAAGTAAGAATTCAAACCTGGGTCTCTCAGGATCCTAGTCCAGCACTCTATCCACTCTGGCACACTGTGATAATCTTAAAAGGGAATCATACAATTTGGGCTTTTGCATTAGACTTTTTCATTTGGTGGAGGAGCAAGTAATAAGAAATTTACGTTCCATGGAAGATTTGTAGTACACTATTGGGATACAGATTTTCTTGAAGATCTTTCCCCCCAAGAATTGGAATTCACCTGTTGCCAGGCCCACATGTGCTACAGAGGGATGCATGGGTGAGATCAAATGGCTGACAAACTTTCTTCAGTAAATCAGCTACATATCCTGTTCTGAACTACTGTACAGCAACCATTCACTGCTCAGACTAAAGATAATTTCATTCTCTTTAATTTTTATATAAAGTAGGAACTGATAAAAATAGTTAAGGTACAGGATCGAAGCAGAGGGCGGGGTAAAGAAGGGGGCGGGGCTTCACCACGTGACCGCCCCGCCCCCTAGAGGTTCTCTTCCGGAGCTCCGTACCTGAGAGCTCCCCCCCGACTAGAGCCCTGCGTATATGTAACCTCCTCCCACTAAAAACTTATTTTTATATACGTTGAAACTCATAGCATTGCCCTCCTGCAGAGTTATTCTGAATTTTCTGAAATCAGTGGGCTTAGACTGCAGTAAATCCTCCTAGGATCGCACAGTTATTTTATTACATACTTTAAGGGGGGGTGTCTGTGTATCCCATCAAAACAGCTATATAATAATCAGACGGACATAACGATATTGTACTTCAACCAGGTAAGCTGCATATAATAATGACAGTATCAAGGTGCATAGGTTTCTCATTCCATTCTAAATCAACAAAATTTAGCACATTATATTTGTACTATAGTCATGGATTTGTTGAAATTAGCTGCTGGCTTTTTATAGGTCTACACCTGAGAGGTGCACCCCTTCAAATATTGGTGCAAGGTCACATTTCACATGAAATGTGTGTTCTTGTTGCCATAGAATGTACTCAGTTGCTAAAGCCTCATTTTGAAGCTTTTGACGCAGCACTCATCACTGGTCAAATGTTTTACAACTTGTTGCCTTACGGTATGTGCATTTTTAAAACTCACTCTAAGCAGAAAGATACTGTATTTTATTTGTATAGATAATACAGATAATTTGGTACTTCCAAGGAATAAGAATTAATTTGAAAATGAGAGCGCTTGGTGCATAGGAAATACATAGGGTTAGGTTCCTGAAGAACTCATCTTAAATGTTAAGGAAAACAGAACAAATTGAATGAGGTTATCTGTATGACAATTTTGTAGTCGATCAAACTGTACTAGTGTTTGTGATTGGCTCAGGAGCATGGAATACAAAGGTGGCTTTAGAATGTCAGGTCCATAACATGCAATGGAACTTCTGGAAGAAGTGTGGATGCTGTGGAATGTCCGGGGAAGTGGGCATGCGCACAAAATAAAACTTTCTGGGTCTTAAAGGTGCCACTGGACTCAAACTTTGTTATGCGATGGAACTGTTTCAGTATAGCGTTATAATTATAAAAGCATTAAGTACCACATTATTTATTTAAGATTGTGAATAGGAAATGTTTGAATGACTGCTATGGATCAACTTTATTTTTCTACACTTTTTTGTGCTTATGCTATATATTTCTGGGAGGGATCATAAAACCCAGTTTATGGTCAACTTGGTAATAATCCAGAGGAAAGAATTCTAAGAAAATTAACTTTCGTTTTATTCTTTCAGCTAACCGCAAATCTTCAATTGGTGTAAAAAAGAACAGCAAGAGCAGAACGTTAAGGCGGCAGTCTATTTCAAGAATCCCAGCTTCATCAAATTCTACCTCATCCAAACTAACTCATCTAAATAATTCCAGGGTACCAAAGAGACTGAAAAAGCCTGCAAAGCCTTTACTTTCTAAGATTAAGTTGCGGAATCAGTGCAAAAGGCCAGAACAGAAAAACGCATCTAGAAAACTCGAAATGGGAAGTTTGGTTCTTAAGGAGCCTAAAATAGTCCTGTATAAAAACTTGCCTATGAAGAAGGAGAAGGAAACCGTGGGACCAGTGAAAGTCGCCATCTCTGGTGGCTGCTTAACAAGGCATGCGGCACGAGAATACAAACTGAAAGGTGCTTGTGAACCTGGAGAGGTATCGCCTTGTACATATATAACAAGGAGGTCAATGAGAGCAAGAATGAATCTGAAGGAGACCTCTGACTTAAAGCTTGAACCAAATATGCTGAATAGCTATAAGAACGACTTGACTGGTACACAAGCCAATGGCTTGGAACAGCAGTCTCACGTGATGCATGAGGGTGAACAGGCTCATGTGACATCACTTAAGGGAGAGGGTAGGTGTCAGAAGAACGACAGGGTTATGGCCAAAAAGAAATACCGGCAAAGACGACATGGGAAGCCGTCTGTGAAAACGGAGGAAACTGATCCTGCCCATGATATGCCCGGTAAAGACAGAGTGCCAGATTTAATCAGCTCACATTCTGACCTAGAAGAAAGGAACAATGTAGTGGATTCAGCCGTTGGCTATAACGATTGTATTCCCGTATCTGGTGGCTGCTCCATTGTGACTTCGGATACTTTCAAAGCAAAGGACCATTTTAGAACTGCAAAAAGCAAAAAGAAAAGGCGAATCACAAGGTATGATGCACAGCTAATTCTTGAAAACAGCTCTGGGATTCCCAAACTGACTCTGCGGAGGCGGCATGATAGCAACAGCAAGACAAATGACCAAGAAAATGATGGAATGAGTTCTTCAAAAATAAGCATCAAGCTAAGTAAAGACCATGACAACGATAACAACTTATATGTAGCAAAGCTTAACAATGGGTTTAACTCAGGATCAAGTAACAGTTCAGCAAAATTAAAAATACAGCTGAAACGAGACGAAGAAACCAGGGGGACATATGCAGATGACCTCCATGAGAATGGAATGTGTTGTAGTGATCCTCTTTCTCTCTTAGAGTCACGAATGGACGTGGATGATTATAGTCCGTACGAAGAAGAAACCGTGGATGAATCATCATCCGAAGAGGAAGAAGAGGAGGAAGAGGATGAATATGAAGATGATTTTGAGGATGATTTTATTCCTCTCCCTCCAGCTAAGCGATTAAGGCTTATAGTTGGCAAGGATTCAATAGACATAGACATTTCTTCCAGGAGGAGAGAGGATCAGTCATTAAGGCTAAATGCATAAGCTTATAGGTCTTTCTGAACAGGATGTCCATTTTTTTAAAGAAAAATTCCAGTCAATTATTCCTCCAACTGATGAACTTTCTGAAATGTTAGTGGAAGCACTTCTTTATTGTTTATTCACTTATATCAATATAATATTGTAGAAAATGTACAGCATACTGACTCCTTAAGTCATTTGTGCAGATTTTTATTGTACTTTTTAATAGCCTTCTTATGTGCAATTCTGAGTTAGAGAAAATGCTCTATTGTAAAATAAAGGCTCAAGCAAAATTTAAAATTGCCATCAAATTTTTCCATGCAGGATAATTAAATCACAATAATGTGGCTACATGATTATTTTTAAATCTGTGAGAGCATTATTTTGCTCTTACACCTGACTAAACAGTACTTTAAAACAAATCATAGCAGCGGCATATTAAGGTTTTCTAGTATGTTAATATCACCAGCAACAAACTACAGCTTTTTTTTGTTTATTTGCTAGATGTTTTCCCCCCTTGGAGTTTGTCAGTTTTAACACTGTATGCTGTCCCCAGACGTACTGTTTGTGGCCTTTGTTATAGTAGCAAACGGTTGGTTGGAAGTCAAATTGATTTCTTTAAAAAAAAAAAAAAGGTGTTGACAGTTTGCTGACTTTTAGTACATTATATGTACAAGGGTAGCAGTATGCAGAATACAAGTTTGGATATGGTGTATTTATTTCTTGTTATGTAAATTAAAACACCTTGTATTTAACACTTTTTCAATACTTTTAGATAAAATTGTTCTTTGCAAGAATGATTGGTGCTTATTTTTTCAAGAACTTGCTGTGAAACAATGTGATTACAACAGGCAACATTTATCCAATGAACTGCAGCTATCCTAATTGGATCCTCATTGTTTTCTGTTGCACTTGTAAAATGCTACAAGGAATTTTTTTAAAAAAACTATTCACTTTAATTTATGATAGTTTTATGAAATTTAAAAGAAAAACTTAAAGTCACAGCTTTTGTTCTGTGGTAATCTATAAAAATGTTTGTCTTTTGAGATACAGTGTAAAGGACTGAAAAAAATGTATATGTTGTAAATATTTGTGTGTTGTGAGAAATTTTGTCATAAAATTAATAACTTACCAGAAGGGTTTTTAAGTTTAGAAATACATTCATGCCAATAAATAGGAAATTATAAACCTAGTTTTAAACTCTGATCAGTGGAATTTTTTTGTATTGGTTTAGCGTACATCTTGAAATTTCAGACTTGCTGTATGCACTTTTTAAGAGCTAAAATGAGAACTGATGGTGGAAGAGCAATTAATTTTAATCTTATAAAATTAACCTTTTTTAAAAAAAACAAACAAATTGTTTTAGTTAGTAGGAATACATGTCATCAGAGTTGTTGAATCTGTTGCTATTTTAGGCACAGAATTTCATACAAGACCATAGAGGATACAGAATTCCTGAGAATTTTAACTTTCTTTAACTAGTCCGCATGATAGTGAATATGTTTTATAGGCAGGTTTCCTCTGTTCATAGATCTGTGTGTGCCCAGAGATGCATATGGGGCTTTCCATAAATGGAGAACCACTTGTGGGCACAAGAATTGCATTTACACATTGGACTTCCCATAATCATAAATAGTTGCTGAATTGGAGCAAGCATCTATAGAAAACTATAATTATTAGTGACTGAAGTTTGTGTGAGTAGGTTCTTGTTCCTTCCTTACTAGCTCCAATGATTTTCCCTTTCCTCTATACCCTGTAGACTACTCATACCTTTCATCCTGCTGCCAATACTGCTTGTCAAAATGTTCAATTTCTGCAAAAATTCAGGCATCATATCTGAAAGAAAACATTCACGTTATCAGTTTTATTCGTAATGAACAACTTCACAGGTGGGGTATAATTTGGGTATATAAGCTTTTCTGGCGATAAATTTGGATTATTTTGACATAGCTTGACAAAATAGCTGTTACTGGGTTCTTAGATTACTTCTGCAGTGTAGAAGCTGCAGCACTGCTGTAATCTTGGGGAAGCCTCGGACCACGTGGGAAGAACCCATGCTGAATGTGTACAGAGGTGGTAGACAGGATTTTTGTGCACCGTATAAGAGAACCTTGTGTTATCCCAGTGGCACGGGATCGAGTACTGCTATGGTGGATCCCACACCGCAAAGTTAACCTAAGAACCCAATCTGTTTAGCTTGGCAGTAGATAAAGATTGCAAAGGAAGTTGTCTGTAGAGTGTGTTTGGAAACAGGAATAGCTCTGTCTCAGCTTCATTCTGTAGAAGTGTTGAAGCTGCACAGTATATTCTTGTGAAGTACCATTGTTAGCTGTCCAGAAGACCTAGACCATGAGTTGCGCAGCTCCTTCATGTGTCACAGAAATGTTAGCTGCACCCCTTTCTAAATAAGGAACTGCACTTGGCCAAGTTTGAAGCATCTCAAAATGTATGCCCTTAAACTTAATCCTAATGGATTTGGGCAGAAAATTGTGTGGAGTCACAGGGAAACAGAAGTGTTGTTGCTTGAATTCAAGTGGCAGGATCTGAGTTGTTGCTGAAATTCAGTTTGAAGCTGTGTACATTTTAATTAACCGTTTAAATTCATTTCAGTTCTATTAAAAATAGCATTATGGAATTGAAATGTGTTTATGGCATTTCTTCTTACATTGTCACAAACATTCCAAATGCAATAAATACAGCTGGATTAGGTATCTGTGCTATTATTGACAGGTACATATGTTTAATATTGATATTTAAATTATTGTTCCAACTATGTCATTAAGCAGTTGGTATTAATTCTCACCCTTGCTCTGAACAATTTATAAAATGGAACCTTTAAAGTGTATTACAAGGAAATCGGTGTACACGGGGATGAGTTTTTATCAGTGCCAAAACTGATTTGAAATAAATGGGACCAAAAGGAAATTTTAAATTCATTAAACGACAGATGGCTCAGAACATGGTTTTAACCTACTTTTTAATCTTTTCTATGATTGTGCCCATCTTTGTGGTTTGTAAATTGTGCAGGTTGTTTGTCATGCTCTGTGTAACTAGATATGTACTTGCTTTTTTCTGCATTAATTTGTACACACTGATACTTGAGAGATAACCCTGTCGAGTGCAGCATTCCAATAGAAGTATATGAACTTTCGTATTTACATAAATGGTTTGACTTCCAGACAAAAGAACTACAGATAACTTGAAGTAAATGGTAATGCTGTCCAATGTTCCCTCTAAGCTGTGGAGTCCTGTGAGCAAAAATTCTACTTTGTGCGCTACTGGCATTAAAGTTGTGAGCGAGCGATTTGGCTACTGCATAAATTAGTCTGCTCTGGGGCCATCCTTCCTGAGCTAAGACAAAAATGTGTGAGCCGGAGGCTAAAAAACTGTGAGCTAGCTCACACTAACTCAGCTAGGAGGGAACACTGATGCTGTCTACTTGAAGATACTGTGATGTGGTGGTATGTGATGGACCACAAGGACCACCAAGGGGCTCAAGCCAAGTAATTGGGGTTTTGACCATAGCTTCATTTTAATTGCTTCCCCTCTGACCTTTTAAATGCTGAGGTGGGCACAGCAGCATCGAACAGAGGAGTGCATACGTAATAGCAAGCCAGAAGCACTTCTCAAATTTAATAAAGGCTCCTGCAATTGTAGCACATTCCTCATTAGCCTCTGTTTCATTTAAACCTTTATTTAACGCTTAGCACTGCCTAGATTT